TACTTAAATACTCTATGAACATACATACAAGAACCTTATAATCTCTCAAAAAGCAGTCGAGGACTTTGAAACGTAAAGATTTTGATGAGTTTTAATGTTTCATAACATTCATGGTTGTTTTATTTTATTATTGATGCTAGCAAACATATAATTGATTATACTATACAATCTTTTGAATTCAATGGATTTAATGTGCATAAAATTCAAAGCAATTATAAAACACATGTTATGCTGCATTTTTATCCATGTAAGGGATTCGACATAGCAAGCAAAAAGAAAAAGTCCAACATGCATAAAGAGTATTAACTATTAAGCACCTAAACCAAGCTCATGCACGGCTGATTTTAAAAAATATCCAAGATATAGGGGGATACTCTGTACAATACAAAGTAGAAGGGCTAAAAGTTAAAATGAATGAAGTTTAGATAGAACTAGGGTTTTAGATTCCGCACCCTTTATAATCTCTCAAAGTCTGCGGGCAGAGCTTACCGTTTCGTGCATTTCTTTGATTTTGAGGCAGCATCAGGTATTCACCCCACTCTCGATCTCTACATCTCTATTGCTCGTTGTTGGTAAATATGGCGTTGGATTAATGCGTTATAGTGCTGATTTTCTGTTAATTGTTAGTATAAACCACGCATTATCTGTTTCAGTATGATATAGTGGGCGAGTCTATCGCTTTTTCTCGACCGAGATTCCGATTTTGTTTAGAATTACCCGAATACTGATTTGGAAACGCTTTGATCTTTGTATCCGTCCACCTGATTCTCCGATCTAAACGTATTGAGAAAGCAGGGAATTTTTTTCCCCTTCGAGTACGATTTGTTTGATTTCGTGATTGGCATTATGCAGCTTCCGAACACATAAAATTTTGATTTGATGTGCATGTATGCGATTGAAACTCAAGCTGATGCACGAAATTCTCTTTTATCGTATCGTTTGCTAGGGACACCAACGAGAAAACATTTATTTCTTTTCCGGATTTACTTTTAAGCCAAAGGGACACTGTCAGCATACATGTCTTTTTGTGTATTGTTCTTGCTTCTGTGAATAATATCTCTCGTTTTACTTTGTTTCTGTTGTGACTTGTGACTGATGAATGTTATCAAAAGCTTTCTTTACATATATTAAGAGGTTTGAGGGAAAATAGATGATCCGTTAACCTTCACTACAATGTATCTTCTTCCTGACATGCTTTCCTCATTTTTTTGACAGTTTGATTTGAACATCTTACATCCATCAACAGCAAACATGGCAGCAGTGTAAGTGTTGTATAAGCAGTATTGTAATCACTGTGATTTCCAATGAACACAATCATACATTCTTTTTCAAAATCTGATGGACACTTTTTCACTTTTTGTAGTGAAGAGGCCGTTGTTCCAGTTGAGGTCCCAGCTCCTGCTGCTCTTGGTGAACCCATGGACATCATGACAGCATTGCAACTTGTGCTAAGAAAATCACTTGCTCATGGAGGTCTTGTGCGTGGACTTCATGAAGCTGCAAAGGTGATTGAGAAGCATGCTGCTCAGCTCTGTGTATTGGCTGAGGACTGTAACCAGCCAGACTATCAAAAGCTGGTCAAAGCACTTTGTGCTGACCATAATGTCAGCTTGATCACTGTTCCTAGTGCAAAGACTCTTGGAGAATGGGCTGGTGTAAGTCTCTTTTTTCATCATAATTGATTAGAAATAGCAGTTTACTTTCATTGACTTGTTTTTCTATGATCTCTCTAACATCATACTTTTTTGGATTAAAGTTGTGCAAGATTGACTCAGAAGGGAAAGCAAGGAAGGTTGTGGGTTGCTCTTGCCTTGTTGTGAAGGTAAGTACTTTTTTTTATTTGTCAAAAGTGGTTTTGTTTATGTGCTATTTCTTTCTTTATTTAATTTTATATATAAAATTTACAGGATTACGGAGAGGAAAGTGAAGGGCTTCACATTGTTCAAGAGTACATGAAATCTCACTAATTATTTGGCGGTTGATGAAAATACTCTTGTTTTTTTGGTTTTTGAGTTTTGGTATGAGGAGACCCTTAGGGATGATTAGATTGTTGGAGTAAAAACTCTTGTTGAAGTTCATTAGATATTAATTATTGAGTTTTCTTTTGTTGTGTTTGGCCGTTGTTCAAAATTCAAACGATATTTCTTGTTAAGCATATTTCATACAATTTCTGGTTGAGAGTTGGGTGTAGCTTAATAAAACATTTTTTAAACACTTAAAAAATATAGAATCAAACACGTAACACGTGACTTAAATTAAAAATATCGTTGTCTTAGATATCAAGTTGAAATGATTATCCAAAAGGTAGCCTTATGTGATTGTGTCCTTTTTGTGTTTTAAACGTGCTTAAGAATGCATGAGATCTGTTGTAGCATAATAATTATACAAAGCAATTGTGCCCGAACTATAACAAGTTCAAATTTTTTGATTTTTTTTTTTTTTTTTTTTTTTTTTTTTTTTTTTTTAATTTAAAGATGTACGATGAGACTATTAGAACACTACCGATGTTTGTTTCAATCCCAAGAAGAAGAGAAATCCCATCACTTTAAGTTGTCTTCGACAACAAGGGTTACAAGTATTTAGGTCTGCAGGAGATGTGTTAAAGATCACAGTAGATCTCTTTATTGTGATAGAAGCTATTATGAGAAAATCTAATGGCATCTACTATGTCTTAGGCATTACAATTACAGGTTCTGCTAGACCTACAATTTCGATCACCACTCCCCATATTAAACCTACAAAATCGATCTACACCGGTATCATTTCCCTTCCAAAATTTTTAAATCCTTTAGTTATAGAAAAAGGAAACTAAAATTCTACGAGATCTACACCAGTATCCTTTCCACTTCTAAAATTTTTAAATCCTTTGGTGATAGAAAAAGGAAACTAAAATTCTATGAGCGCTATATTCTTGGAAAACAATATGAAATTTAACACTTTGCAGGTTCATACCACCAGAAACATTTCGATTATGTTCACTCAGATTCAAGTTGGTCGTGTCAAAACAAGTGCCATGGAGAAATGCTAACATGATGATAAAGCCAGTTGCAGTATCCAAGTTTAAACCTTGCTCGTAAGCTTGGTTGGCATTCAATCTATTCCTCAGTGGCTATGGTATAAGATTTGTTTTCCGTTTTTGGAAGTTTTTTCTATTGATGATGGAATTTGTCTCAAGGTGAGCCGGAGTCTCCTTCATGGGAGTTATTTGGTTGCTTGGTTTTCAAGTAATTAGGATTTATTAATCTTTCAAATTAGTTGGTGTTTAGGATTTTTAGAATTCATGGTGCCATTTATCATTTTTAGAATTGTCCCCACAATGAGAGTTTGGTAGTTCCTGTGTGAAATTTCACTCAGGTGATTCAGTGTTCAAATCCTGACACACCTGAAATATTGTTAATATTCCACGATTGACCTCCCACATAAGCTGTTTAGATGGTACGATTCACCATTTTTAGAATTTTTTGAATTCTCGTAAGATTCTAGTTACGATGCTTACAAACATATAATGTTGCTATGCATTCTAAATTCCCCTCTCCATTTAATTATTATATATCATTTTACATGTAAATCGAGTGTAATGTGATTTTCCTTACAAGTTCTCTTTGTTATATATATATATATATATATATATATATATATATATATATATATTTCTATTTTCCATAATATGATATGATTTGGAGTTTCAATTTTCCATAATATGATATGTTTATTATTTATTATTATATTAAAAAAAGATATAATAAATTTTTAGAAATATACATTTTTAGATTGGGCTTTCAAATTTGTACCAAATAAAACCAACACTATGTTACCAACTTAGCTAAAAAACAGATAATCAATATATTTGATAACTAACATTTTTGTTGGTGGTTCGGTAATAATCATATAATTTGATATCATGGTATATCACAATTTTTGTTACTTTTGATACAAAAGGTTTGTTTGACAATGAGTTTAGGAAATTCTAGCTTTAAACTTTTAACAAAAAATTCATGTGAAAGTATTAATTTTTAGCTTTTAGTTTAAATAAGAAAAAACATTTAAAAACAAACTGTTAGGTTTTTTTAATCAATTTCTAGAATTGCCTTTAAAATTATATTTATATATTCATTTATTTTAAACAATTATCTTTTTATACATATTTATACATTTTAAAAATTTTCATTTATTTTTATCAAACACTCATAACAAATAAAATTACAACTTCCAACTAACTTTGCAAAAAAATGACCTTAACGTACTTTACATGGAAGTGGTAGCTAAAACTATGTACCAAATATTAATTAATATGACAAGACTTAGTACCATAGTACCATACCATACCATGTTGACACCAACTTTTTGATAGGCTCTGTTCTTAAACCTATCAGTAAACACACATAGGGTAAACTCATAGCATTTTATTGCAATGAAATAAAAAGAGGGTAAAAACGTGGGGTAGAGTGGAACAACAGATATCTCAAAACCCCCAAAAGTTGTTACACATCCATCCTAATTATAACATCCTATATGTATATGACTCGCTTCAAGTGTTCCAATTCTCACTTGTACATATCATCTACCAAAATGATTTTTTTTTTTTTTTTTTTTTTTTTTTTTAAAAAACAGCAAGTTCTAGATAGAGAGCTACAAGCTAACATTTAATCGTGATTTAATAATTCATTTGCTTCCAGAAACCGGCAGATACACCCCCTCCACTGCCAACCAAACATTATCAGCCCTTTTCTCCCTCACACCGCAAACCTAAACAAAAAGAAAAAACACATAACACCACTTCAGCAGCTCATTCTTTTTGACTTAATGAATGGACTTAATCAGAATAACACTATAAATATTTTTTTAACATATACTACCTCTTGCTGACCACCAGCAATGCGGCTGTATTTCTTATTATGGCTGTGTAGATATCCACCCGTGTCCACATGGCGAAGCCTTATTCGTTGATCCTGTCTCCAAGTTTTTCCACTCCCCTCAATTTCAATCCTAACCCCATAATATATAATCACAATTAATTATACAACACTTCAACTCGTAAACTTATTATATGGTAGATAGTTCTCACCTCCAATAATCTCCTGTATCTGAATTACCATCATCCCCAAAACAACTCACCTACACAAAACTTACACTTAGCCACTTAACCATTTTCTCTAATGATTAAAATTTAAATAACAAACCTCTAAATTGCCTGAAATTGGTGAAGCATGCAAGTGACTATGGAGCCATCTTCTGGTTTTCATGTGTTGCATTCGAATAATGGTTCCACTTTTTATACTGTCTCCCTGTTTTGCTGATGTCTCAGGTGAAGCCCGAACAATCTGGTTTATAAAAGTTAATTATGTCATTTTGTTAACCATGTGAAATGGATATCAAGTTATAATTATAAACACCATTAACATACCCAGTAGCTATTGGCATCATCTACATTAGGAAAACCTGTAACGGATTGCTGCCCACTGCCTGATCCATATGGCACATCATGTGAATGAAGTCGGAATCTTGTCTTTTCATGCATCAACTTCAGTACTGATCCATATGTAATCTACCATATATACAGTTTCAATAAATCAACATTGATGAAAAGAAAAATCAACAAAAGTGTATACCTCAGAATTCAGATCAGTCTTTTATGCAATATCAGGTGATATAAGTATCAGTTAAGCTAAACATTGATATAGAAATGCTACTAAAAAATATAAAATTTCTCATTCCCTAGTTAAAAGTGCAAGAAAATCGAACCTTAATAGCTTCCTACCCAAGAAAAGAAAAAGATGTCCTGACACATTCAGTATTCTTACATTTCAAATCTAAAATTCCTGGAATTTATTACAACCTTAATGGTGATATTAGTTTTAGCTTCACAAGGAATTTAACGAAGTTATGTAGTCTATTTGACCTTAAGAAGTGGTCATGATATTTCTCTTCCAAGATAGAAAGGAGTTCATCCACAGATTTACCACAAATACAAGCGATAAAATCTTCTCGGTGTCCGGATTAAAAAGAAAAACCGGCACAACAAATGACTTACACCAGCATTCTTTTATGCGTCTTATTTGTTAGAACGACTGGAAACCTTCATCAAATTTCGCTTGCAATATTACACAATTCAAATCAATTTCGAAGTTGAAACTAGTAATCGAGATTAGATTTTAATCAAGCGAATTAGAGTCTCCAAAGAAATCAATTAGCTCCAACAATCTCATGAAATAAATTCGTAATAAAAAATCGTATAATCAATGAATTACCTCAACGCCTTCGGAAGTGGCAGCGTAGACAGGAGTTGAGGTGTAATCCGAGTCTAGGGTTAGGAAGAGAAATACAGCAAGACCAAAGAAAGACAGCGCCATCACCAGTAAAAGTCCAATAAACCAGGTCCGTTGCCAAAACGGTAGGTCTAGATCCGATTCAGAGAATGAAGAAGTGCCAAGGGTTTCTCTGTAAATGATCCGAGTAGGAGCCGAAGGACGTGTCGGAGACGAATTAGAAGAAGCGGTTCTTCTTCGAGTAACGTTGCTGTTGTTGCTCTGTTGCTGTTGCCCTGACGGAGGAGCCACGGCTGGATATTTTCTCAGGTCGGAGCCTCCGGCGGGAGATCCGACCTCCGGTGGCTTATACACAGACTATAAACAACAGCGAGAGAGCGAGAGCGAGAGAAAGAGCGAGTGTGTGTGTGTGTGTGTCCCAGCGATCCGATTGAGAGTTTCTTGTATCATAGCATCTCTTGTTTGTAGTTGGATTGTTTCGTCAACGGCGGTGCCACGTTGGTTGTAGTTTTTGAGCAAATAAAATTGCTCCACGTGGTCATTCCGTAACAGCTGGAGTGCTGATTAGGATTATTGTTAAGGTTTACAAAAGTATTCCTAAATTTTTTCAATTTATTTTGCAGATTTTTAAGCAATAAAAAATTGTAATTATATCTATATTAATTATATACATCTATTTCTATAAAAGAAATTCGGATTATTTTAACGTGTGTTATTTTTTTTCATAATAATATATAAAGTAAGTTAGCATATCATACTAACTAATGAAAAACAACTTTAATATTTTGATGTGACAATGTTTACAAAGGAAAACACCAAAAAAAAAAATCTTGCTTTAAGACTTGAATCTTCCAAGGTCTAAGAGGGCGATAAGAAGGTGTTTAAATTTTTTTAATTAATTAATTAATTTATTATTTTTAGAAAATATACTATATCATAACCAATTATTATCATCTATTTGATTTGGTCATTATTATTATTATTATTTTTTTTTCACAATAAATCATTAAACTTATAATTTACTTGTTTATTAAGTCACTTTCGTTAGTATTTCACAAATCACTCGTAACTATTTATTCTAAATTACACTAATGATCCCTATGATTTCAATTTATTTTGTGGTTGGTCCCAAACCATCACCACCACCACTTCAATACTTCTATGTTTCTAGTTTAATAATGACACCCAAAATCTGTTAATCCATCATCTAAAAAGATTACAAATAACAACTCTTCTACTGTGTTTCATTTAAGCTCCATAGATTTTTGAATCGTTGACCATGGAGTCGTGTGATTTTGATTGAAATTAGATTTTCACAGAATGTATGTATAATAGATGAGTGACAATCTTGTAATTTCATATCCACAATACCTACATGATTTTCAGATTAGGTTCCATTGTTGTTGCTTCAGCTGATACAGTTAAGCAGATCAATGTTAAACGTCCTCCGTCAACAGATAATTCGATAACTTATAGAATTTTTTTTTTCGATTCATTTTACTAAAAAAAGGGGATTCTTTCTAATTTCTAACTTTGAACGGACAATGATGTTGTTCCATGCTTCTAATGTTGAAATTGGAGCTTAGGAAACGATTAATCTACTTCTTGATAGAATAAAAAAGAAGAAGGCAAAAAACAGATTATTGTATGTGTTATTGCAGAAGCTATTCTTAAATCCGTATCCAATTTTACTCTATATTCGATTATTGTTTCTATGCTTTTTAGAAAAGATGAAGAGGAAACAGATAATGTTAAATTAATTTGCAATTTAATCAATGCACAATCAAACACTCCAGATTTTGAAGATCATTTTACTTGAAATTAAAGATATGTTATCTGGCATGATTGCTATTCCATTTCCGACAGCCGAGAAAGAGTGTGTGTGTACGAAATTGAAATGACGAACAACGCAAACGAACTTGAACGATTACGAAAATTAGTCAAAGAGCTTGAAGAACAAGAAGTCAAACTCAAAGGCGAACTTCTTGAATAACAACAATTGCACTTTCGTTTGAAGAATCCCAACTTGTTTCAACAACAATAATTTCCCTTTCATTTGATTCACATTAAGTTGAAGCTACCTTTGAAGCTCCTTGAATCTTTTTCATGGCTGCATCTAATTCCTTTTTATAATTAGCTCCGATAACGACTTCTTCTTGAAGTTTTTTTCTCTCGGTTTGTAACGAATTGATTGTAATACTCAACATATAGATCTCGACTGTTTTGATTTTCATTTGTATTTGTAATTCGACAATATCAAATTCATGTTCTTTTCTTAGGTAGGTGAACGGTGGTGGTGGTGGTGTGGTGGTGAGGGACAAACCACATAAGAAATTGAAATCATAGGACCATTCCTGTAATTTAAAATAAAAGTTAATGGAGGATCAATTAAAAATTAACAAAAATGATCTAATAGAAAGGTAAGTTGTAAGTTTAATGACTTATTATGCAAAATAAATAAATAAATAAATAAATAAAATTACTTTAGTGACCAAATAAGGTAAATAACAATAGTTGATTGTGCTACAATGTCATTTTCCTGTTATTTTTCGATGTTTCAAAGATGAATGTTGTTTAACCTACACAATTCTCGCTTGTCCTCCACATTGTTATGGAAATCATATTTGTTGTTCATCGTTATATGGCACCCACCTATATGGCCACCCACTCGTACTACCAACAATGTAGATATCTCAAACGATGAGTATAGAGGTTTGGAGCATGCTCGACAAAAATAGTTGGCAGCGGGTAGCTCGTAGGGGTAGCGGGTGGCTTCTAGATGGTAGCGATTTGTTAAAAACTACATGAAGTAGCATTTAGATTTGAATGTTTTCTGTTCAAAAGGAAGTATTTTGTCAAATGCTAGAACGTAGAAGCTCTCAAACGCTCATAAACATTCTATGTCGAACACGCCCTTGATACTTTTAAGATAAATATTGTTGTTTGGTACTTATAAGAAATATTTTCGTTTGGTGCTTTAAAAGAAAGACAAAATTTCGTATATGTCATTTCTAAACATGTAAATATCGTATTTGTTCGACCTTAACTCTAACTATCGTATTGGCCCTTCTTAATATTTTTTAATATCATATATACCCAAATCTATTTTTTATATATTTTACTCATTTATTGTAGCATCCCAAAAATACCAAGTAATTTTTTTTTGTTTTAAATCTATCAAAATCACCATTCATTCAAAAACCCATCAAAGTGTGAATATATATATATATATATATATATATATATATATATATATATATATATATATAATAGTTATCTGAGTACAAATCATAACATAAATGCGGAACACTGGCGGATGTGATGCAATCACGTCGAGATCTTTCCTTTCGTAACGGAAGTACCTGAAGCACAAACATAAAACTGTAAGCACAAAGCTTAGTGAGTTTCTCAAAATACCACATACCATACCTATATCGGGCCCTACACGACTTCTATCGGGCCCCGCCTGGCATCAGGCCCCACCCGATATTACATACAAACACATGCAAGAGTCACAAAGACAGCTAGCACCCTACATACATAATCTACTGGGTCAACATTGGTGCCTTCGACCCACAAGATAGTGAAGAGACTCATCTCAATTGATAACATATAATTCTCACACCCCGAGGTACTGGTCTAAGAACCTCATCATACTATACATATCAAAACCAACCCTAATTAATAATTAGGGTAATAATCATAATCAATATTCCATTACATACTTTCTCTCTAGGGTAAAAGACTGTTTTACCATTCCATACATTACCTAAATCCCTAAAATGACCAATTTCCTCCTCTGTAACTATGCCATGCGTACTCCTTCACATTGGTTGTACTTTTTGAGCAAATAAAATTCCTCCACGTGGTCATTCCGTAACAGCTGGAGTGCTGATTAGGATTATTTTTAAGGTTTACAAAAGTATTCCTAAAACTTTTTTGCAAATCTTTAAGCAATAAAAAAAATGTATATACATCTATTTCTATAAACGAATTTCAAATTATATTAACGTGTGTTACTTTTTTTATAATAATATAAAAAGTAATTTAGCATATCATACTAAAGTTGGAGGGAGTGATAACATCTTTAACATGTTGTCACATAAGATTTTTTTAAGGCTACATAGGATTTTTTTTTAACCTCATAAGATGAAGAGAGTGGTAACAAAAAGGTAGGACCTTGAGTTTGAAGATCCGGGTTACCATCATCTTTTGGCACTCATTTGAGGTATAAAGCTCAGAACTTGTTGTATTATAGCTTAGATTTCCTTTGTTTGAGTTTTTGGACCATTTTGGTCCCATAAATGGGATCTTGTGGATTATTTTTATTTCTGAATCTTAGAGTTGCTACTCTTGGTGTGTTCTTTTGGTCCTAGATTCATAAAGTTTCTATCTTTGAGGCTTAGAACCATCCATGCATGAGTTTGGGTTCATCTTATGGAAGTAGAGGGTTGTATTTTGGGTTTGGGTTCATTTGGGGCATGTAAAGCCGCCAAGTTGATGACTTTATGGTTTAAGATGTTGCATATGACTCGGATTTGTGTTTGGGACCCTTAGACTTAAGTATTCAAGAGCTTATTGGAGAAATGGCTTAATGGGTGAGTACGATGGGTGTACAAGCTCATATGCTTAACGTACAAGCCATGCAACATGTACGTTTAACATACAGTTGAGTACGCCCAACGTACTCAATGATTTGGGCTTTGCGTATTTTAGGATACTTCCTTGGACATTATTGTTTTGGGCCTTAGTGGGCGATCTGAAATCGAGCCTTTGTACCGAGTGAGTTTAGTGGGCCTAGAGATAAGGCCCATATTGGGGGTTCCTTAGAGGAACAAGTGGTTTTGGGCCTTGGTTTTGGATCATATTAGCTTAGGGGTAAAATGGTCATTTTACCCCAAGGAAGGATTATTGAATATATAATGGAATCGAAGTGTTAATTGGGTGTTATTGTGTACCGTTAGCTCGAGGAGTCACCAGGGTAGCAACTAGGGATTTATTTCAGTGAGACTCAGCATTTGAGGTGAGTTTCTTCACTGAGTTTAGCGGGTCTAAGGCACTAAGACCGACCCTTGATTGGTTATGTTGATATACTTGTTGTTTGTGTGATACTTGTATGTACTTGTATATGTATGTTTATTGGGCGAGGCCCGTATCTCATTGGGCAGGACCCGTTATATGAGAGTGGGGGAGGCATGTATCTCTTTGGGTGGGGCCAGTAATATGATATGTATTGTATGCAGTATCTTGGGAAACTCACTAAGTTTTATGCTTATGGTTTTTAATTTATATTTCAGGTACTTCCAGTTCCAAGGGAAAAAGCTCGGGTTGTCTGCATCGCACACATCATATGGATTTTGTTTATGGGACATACTCTGATTTTCATGATGTTTGACATACTTATTTTATTGGGATGTATGAATAATGTTTTGAGAATGTTGTTTTTACTTTAAGATATTGAAATTTTTGGGTCGTGTTTTAAGGATGTATTAAATCAATGTTGTTTTGTTGTATATATATATATATATATATATATATATATATATATATATATATATATATATATTGTTTTTTTGATTATTACAAATATCATTCTTATAAATAGCTAAGTTTCTTTTCTGAATCTTGCATATCATCTTTATCTTCACATTTCTTTTAACCGATAAAGAATTTGTAAAAGAGTATTATTATAATACTTTTTGTAATGGAAGGTTGTTGTAGAAAGTTAATAGAGTTTGAGGGTATATGTTAGCTCTATGTTATCAATAGTCAAACTTTGAATTTGCATTTGGGGTATAACCTATTATAAGTTGATTAATTTGTGACCTAAAAATTACGTGTATTGGATAATCAAATCATATTACCAAAATTATTTCGATGCCCGACAATGTTGTCTATTTAAATGGGAATCAAGAGGTAAATGACTATCTAGTTGTTCATTATGTGTATCCACATATGGCTAAATATGGCTATATTGTATGTGATCTTTGTACACCCGATGACAAGGAAGCATGTGAAAAGGGATTAACAATATGAAGTGATAAAGTTTCTATTGTGATGATGTCTCATATAGGTCCTTTTAAGTATGTTATATTTTTAAGTATGTTACCTATCATAAATGTAAGAACGTTTTCAGTGAGGAACTTGCATATAATTGGATATCTTATCTTTTGCTAAATGATTCTGGATCATATCATCTTCATCTCTATACGAGACATTGTTGTTGATTCACCAGATAAAGCCATTCTAATGAATGATTATAATGTGAAGAATGAAGAAAATAGTATTTATGGAAATATTAATGATTTCTCGTGTATGCCTCCCTTGTTGCCTAACCAATAACACACTATCAATGTTAGGGTATCACTCTGCTTCACGACTACTTCACATGTTTGACTTCCTCAAATATTCAATGACAAAAAAAAGAGTTGAAGCTAACATCGACATTAAAATGCATTGATGAAAGTTCTTAATATAAAACCACAAAGTCATGCAAAAACATACTTTAGGCTTCATATCTTTTAAAAAACTATTAATGACATATTAGGTATTCCAAAAGTAAAGATACATTTCCAAGTTCGAGTATTCAAAGAACATCACACGTGTTCAAAAAAGCAAATTCATCTCGATCGTCTTCAATCAAATATTAATTTAGTGGGACATATATTAAATTTTTTAATGGGGGAGCATAATAAAACACAGGAAAAAGAATCACCAAATATATGAAAAGCTGATTTAAAGTTCACATTTCGTACTCTCAAACTTGGCATGTGAAGTGCCATTGCTAGATTCTTACTCTTGAATATCAATCACACAAGAAAGGAAAAGACAAATTCAAGGAATTATCGATCTTACATAGGAAATAGATGATTTAATGATCAATTTTACATACATATGACAAAAATCTTGTAACATCCAAAAAATAAAAGTCAAATTTGTATTTTTCAAAAACAACCAAAAACCATAAATATTTACAAACATAGTTTCCAAAGTGTCAAAGTCACAAATCAGAGAATCCAAAATCAAATCTCACAAAAAATGAAGGTTGTGCACGATCAAGTCTTCGTCTTGCCCTAATCATCTGAAGTACCCGAAACATAAAATTTAAACTGTAAGCTAAAGCTTAGTGAATCCCCCAAAGTACCACGCACAACCAAACAAATATACATATTGTATGTTGGGTCAAACTTGGTCAAACCCCAAACCC